TTACAATATCGCAATTTTTCATAAATAACTTACTCGTTAAGCTTTCTGTTGCGAATAAAAACTCACTCTAATAAATTTGAATTTTATCAAGAGAATCTGTTGTATATAAAAGTCAGTCCCGGGGTAAAAATATATATTTTCCGTGATATAAATCTCATCTAAAATTTTGGAACGTAAAGAAAATGAGAGAGCTCGTGAAAAAATTTTACAAAATCTATCTTCTTGGATATATGTAGCGTTGCCATAAATTGAAAACTTAAGCCGGCAGAAAGGTGTGTGCTCCGAAACCTAAAATGAAAGAGGTTCGATGTAAAGAACAATTTCGTTACGGTGGTGTATATCGATATCCATCACCGAAATCTAAATAAAAATCCTAAATTTGTTCGATTTTTATTCAAAACGAGTTTTTAATATGATCACAACATCAATCTCTTTCGCGCGGCATACATACGCAAAAAAGAAAAAAATGTCTTCTCTAAAATGTTAAAATATAGGATTTCTGTATTTTAGACGTCACGCGTGCATGCGTAGACATTTATCATAAAATATAGGTATAGGTATGTGTATACTTATGATTTACGAGAGAAGACATTCACGCAAAAAACAATTATCTAGTTCTTGTCCAAATAAAACATTTTGTACATATGTATTTTTGTTTAATTTTTTTTACGCCAAATTGAAATATGTAAAAATTAATTTTGTATAATCACAAATATAAGTATTTTACACGTATGTGTAATATCTACTTTTTGTCAGCTTAAAATAAACTTATTATTATCAAGATTAGTTTGACATTTGAATTGTGTTTTCACTGTGTGCGTTTGTTGGTGAAAAAAACCGCAATGTATAGGTCACATATGTTCAGGAAAGGATTCTCTGTTTTGTGAGAGAAAAAGAGAAAAAACAGAGACGTTTGACAACTGAACAAACGCTGCGACAGAGGTAAACTATTTTAAAATTTACGGCTGATATAATTCTGCTATTTACGTCACTATACGTGGTCATCACTTTCAGTTAAAATGCAATGAAAAATTCGACGTATTGCGTTGTTGTTATTATTGTGTTGTTGCCTCGTTGTAGTAATAAACTAGGACACTTGCTCTCATGCATAGATAAACCGAATGTTATTACACCTGACTGATTAATTACAATTTGAAAATTAAATTTACTGTGGGTATATAATTACATTACAATAGATATCATTAAATTTATAGTAGATTACAATAATAAAAATAATTTATCCTATTTTAGGATTGTAAGTTGTGGTCTTTAAGATTACAGAGTAACATTATGGAGTAACATCACAAACTAATTTTAATCATACAATATAGCCCGACTCAATATATTCTTCTCTACAACTGCACATGTCTCTAAAGATTTTTTTTCTATAATACTTTTATTTAAAAAACTACAAATAAATGTCATTTGTTCAGCTTTTTAATCATTTTTATTTTTTGCCAGAAAAGAAATATTTCAATTCTCTGATGTGAGAATACGAACGCGCTTTGTATGTCAACAACATAGCCCGATGACATTTCTCGGGTTTTAACGTTTCCTGACAATGATCTATCTACTATTACTGGAAAGCTCATTATCCTTGATCTATTCCGGCGTTGACTGGTCTCACGTCACGAGTAATACTGTGATCATTACAGAGCGACGTCATGTTGCATGTTATACAACAGATGTCAAACGAAAAGGAAAATCGATCTACAATTCATTCGACAGGATCAATAAAGAGCGAGATTTGTATATGATATTTGTGAGTTGCAATCTTGAGATTGCAATTAATCCAGGTGAAAATTCGAAAACGCGATGCGCGAGAGTTCGTTTTCTCGTGTTATTTGCCCGGCAAAGTCTCTCAGCTGTATATTCCGACTTTTTGAAAATAAAATAAACGCAAACGGCTCTCGCGTCAGAACTCTGTTACTTAACGTTTTATACGTCAAAAGTTACACGGGTCTACGTGACGTTAGATACAACTTTCAAGATGCGGAGAGAGAAAGAGAGAGCGTGTTGCAGAAATGTTGTAATGTCGTTATGGAGTTTCAAACTCCATTAATGAAAATTTTGTTAAAACAACAATGAATTTTGCAGATAGAAACGCGGTTAGTGGATGCTGAAAAATGCATATTAAAATACACGAGTAAGATGCAGCACTTTCTCGCTGTTGTGCCGATAATAACACGAGCAACGAAAGTTTATTGAGATATTAATGCACTTCCACTGAGAAGTTGCAGTTTGAAATTAAAATTATGCATATTTCAAATCAGACCGTACGTTGAGCGCGTATCTTCCTAAATTCTTACGTAAGCTGTCGTTTATATTTCAAACACTAATTTGAAAATATAATATGGTATACGTGATGCGTGCTTTATCGTAATGTGCAAGTCTTAGGAGCAAGTACACCATTCAAAATTTAGATGCTTGTTTATATTTTAAAAAAAACCAAATAAAAAACAAACTTTAATAAAAGGTTTTTTGGGGGATTTTTTGCGCTCGTAAAATTTTTGAAATTACCATTGCTTTTTCATAGAAAGTTGGACAAAAACTGTGTCAAAAAAGTTATATCGAGTTCCGCGAATATATAGTTAGGTATGTCATAGAGAGTATATTAAAAAAAACTTCGCGGAATAACTTAAACTCAGAAAAAGAATAAAGTCTGTAAGAGAAAGAGGACAGTCAGGCGCTATGTGCGCAATATTATTGGAATATGCAAAATGCAATAGCTACACTTGCGTGTTTTGAATATTTTCGCGCCTCGTATAGATAAAACTTTTCCTATAATTGAATTTAGGTTTGATTCTTTTGCGCAATTTGTTATGAGGAAATTAATATAAAACTGAACTTTGAAGTTGATCTTTTGAACATTGCGATTATCAATTGCAACACAATAAAAGCTTTAATATAAGTTTAAATTTTGTTACACACGGATTCAACAATAACTACTTGACCTTTTCAATATTGCTATGCAAGGTGACGAACTTCGATGTAAATTCTAAGTTTAAGTTTACTTGTAGTAGCGACTGGTTGTTTTTTTTTTTTTTTTTTTTTAAGAAAGATATAGCACGCGGCAACGAGATTGCGTTTTGCGCAATAATTGCAATATAATTTAAAGTGACTCGGTTTCTGGACTGAAATTGACTTGGCGTTTTATTAACCGGTAAGAGACACTTTGCGCGATCGGCATTACAAGTGTTAAAGCAGTGTTGAAGGAACGTGCGGCCCAAGTTTGTAGTGCGTCGAGTGTTGAAGTTACGGTTTGTAAGGACTTCGGTAAACGATGCAATCTACCGCGCCATTTCCGGCACTTGACTCCGAAGAACTGCGCATATAAAACGGATGAAAATGTCACGTCGGAAATATATAAGTATACGTGGCTTTTGAGAACGCGTAACTCACGTAAAATCACGTGCGAAGTTCAGAAATGTTGAACAAGGAACGTATGTGTGTATATATGTATGTATGTATGTATACACATGTCTATACAATTGATTTTACGTACAAAAAGAGAAAAATAAACACGCTAAATTGAAAAAATTTGATAAACTGATGAATTGAAATACAGCTTTTTATAGTCATGTTTTATTTAGCTCGCTACAAATATAGACGCAGATGTTATTTTCCACCAGAAATGCGAGTGCAACGTAACGATAATTATTTTATTCCCAAAAAAATGCGAGTGCGACGTAACGATAATTATTTTATTCCCAAAGTGCCTTATATATATACATATAGAATAAGGATATATATGTATATATGTAAGAAGAAGTTTTTATATAATTGTTTCTTCTCATCATATCTTTATATGCTAATTGTACGTATAAATCATAACCCGGTATTTCTGCTTTTTTTTAAATTCATAAGATAATTTCAACTTTCTATTTTTCACTAGAGAGAGAGAGATGAGATTTTGTCTGAATTATATTATATCATTATTTTAGAGAGAATCATGTTTTTAAACATATTGTATAAAAGTTGTGTATGTTTTGTGCATTTTATTTGTGCCATTTGCATAATTGATTGTGGCAGATCCATTAAAAATTGTATTATACAGTTTTAGGAGGAAAATAAAAGGCAAAATGTATAATTGATTATTTAACAGTACAAATATCTTTGTGATTTTGCGTCGCAACTAAGTTCCTCTTTCTTTCTCTCTCTCTCTCTCTTTGCGACAATATCCAAAACTACTACTATAAATAATATAACGAGAATTCTCGTTACAGATACGTAGGTACGTATCCTAATAGGATTTAAACACTTTGCACGGAGCAAACTAACTATGTTCAACACCGCATAACCAGAATATCTGTGTAAGAAGATCAGAGGTAATATTGCGGCACAAGCAATATGACAAATACAAATCAGCGGCATCAGAATTGTTAATTATTATCGTGAATAAATATATGAATATATTAACTACTCTGTACTAATATAAAATTATTAATATACTAATTAATAATGTACTAATTGCATATTAACGCAAGCAATGAATAAGTAAAAATTCAATAAAATTAAATTACAATAATTCCAGTTCCCTCAAATTGCGTTTTCAATGCTGCAAACACAAATAAATAATTTATAACGCGATTATAAAGTTACCGCGATGAAAAAGTTCAGTACTGATAACGTAATAATAAACTACAGTAATAAGTAGCTGACAGTAATATTTTCTAACTATCTAAATTTCATCAAAATACGGCAACAGAGAAATAGTGCATACACCGTCTTTACATACACCGTTTCTCTGTAATTAAAATTTGCAAAAAAGAACGAAAAAGTTACGCTTCCATCATAACTTCATCATTCATCTCACGGAAAGTTCATTCATATTTATATACACGCACTCGTGCGCATTTCACTCGCAACTATTTCGAAGATCTCTTTCTGCGTACACATTTGTCGAATTATCTTTTTTATATAATTTTTTGTCAACTAAGAGAGAAAAATTTTTAACTCGTCAGTAGATGTGAGTTCGTATAGAATTTTTGGCTACTTACGTGAGAACAGGTCACGTCGAGAGTGAGAGTGACGTTAACAGGTGCAAATCGACTTGAAGGACAAGCGCGGGAAAACGGTTCTCCAAATCCAGAGACGATGAGAGATGTTGGATTCTTTGTGATCAAAAGACGATGGTCCTTTGGAGTGTCTCGCGTAGTCGTGACTTCGCCGATGAACACTCCGACGTGGAATGTGCGTGTTACCTGAATGACTTGCTGACGAGAGATCGTCTGACACTTCAATAGATGAACACGGCAATGCGGACGAGCTAGCTCTGGCCGGTACTTCGCTGTCGTACCGGGCGGTATCCTCTGCTTTCGGTTGGCGTCTGCGCTCTCGTAACCTTTCGACCTTCTTTCACCTGCGCACCACCGCCGCCGGATACGATATGGAATACGTGAGGGTAGCCCGCGTTAGCTGTCTGTCTTGCTTGATCACAGAGCGAGACCTTTTTCTTCCCTGTCAAGGCTACCTGACGTAGCGTCTGAGATGAAGTGAATTGGGACTTTTAATGAAATAGCAAAATTTTCGTTGCTACAATAGTCTTTTACTTTTACTAATATTTGCTTTTTTGGTATAATTTTTCAGCGCAAAGTAATTTTTTTTTTTTTAGAGAGTTCAATGCAATAAAACAAATTTTTCATTTATATTTTTTACAATAAATATATATATATATACTAATATATATTTATGTATATATTACATATAAATAAAAATAACTATATATATACTATAACTAACTATAGATTATTAATATAGATTATCCGCGTAATAAATCTTAATGACTTACTAATTGCATAATCAAAAATGTTACAATACATTTTGTGTAACATTCTACTTTGACATAGTCATTTTTGCTTTCTTTATTTGAGATAACGATACTAAATATAGAATTTAAGTGTTTTGCTCTAGACAAACTTGCTTTTCAAATCGAAATTACATTATATTCGGATTAACATGTTTTTTTTGAAAGTATCTTACAGCAAACCCAAATATCAAAGAAAAAAAGAGAGAAAGAGAGAGATTAACCTTCCTTCACATCCACTCCTAGAAACTACTACTACTACTACTAACGCTTCTAAGAGGAGGTCAATGTTTACAGGAAGGTCGATGAGATTGAAGCGTCTTTGGGAGGTGCTATTGTATCAGGTAGATACAAGTATCGATCTTATGTGAATTCCAAAAGCAGGTTCCTTTCAAATAAAATAGCAATTTCAGTCAATGTTAATTACCCGTACATTTTAATAACAGTATATATATACCTGTTATATTTTTAAATATTTAAAATATTTTTGCGTTTGTGACTCGAGAACAAATTCTTATTCTCTACATTTTCATTTATTTTCTTATAAAAAAAAAAAAAAACAAATGGGATGACCACCTATCCTTCAATACTATACATTATAAGACGTCGTGTGTTCTCAGACGTAAGAAACGTTGTGATGTATTCCTTTGTGTCTGACTCTGCAGATATTATTTCTACTTGAGAAAATAGAAAAGACGCAAAGTAGCAAAAAGAAGAAGTTGTATCCATGGCGATTGCTTCTCTGTGAGTTTATGCAGCGTTTCGGATATACAAGAAACCGTTTTTTTTTTTCATAATTATTAAATATTTTTACATAATATTATTAAAAGTATAACTACTTGTATATGTATCTTTTCATAACAATATAATATAATTCTTTCTCACTGTACGATCTTCGTTTAGAAGCGACAGTTTTTTAAATAAAAATTAATAATCTAGAGGCATATTTTGTATCAAGAGATCACTGTGTGATCAGGGATTAAAGATTGCTAAAATTAATTTAATATGGCAATTTAACCGCTCTCAGTTGCAATCTCATTTTTCACTCCCGAAGTTTTATCGACACACAATGTCTCGGAATAACTTCGAATTCCCGTCAGGGAATTGTAAAGAATCAAATAGATCAATCCAATTTTCTTTGTCTCTCTTTTACTCTCTGGAAAAAGTTGTTTTCTCGAGAACGTGTAACTGAGAAGATGTAACTTGTTTCCTAATGAGAATTATAGAATAAGGTGTTCCCTCTGTCTGACGCGCTTACAACTACCTAACGGAATTCAGACAAAAGTTTTGATACGTTGTTTCTTGAGAGACAACTGTAAACGACATTAACAGTAAGTATAACGTCTTTGTCCAACAAGAATTGTAATAAGGTTAAAAACGCGATTTCTCCATTGATCTTCTTTCATGCTTCATCTTTGTCGGAAAAAGCTGGATTTACGCGAATGTTTTGAGATTTGTAGAGATTTGACGAGCGATTTTTTCCAAAACTGTCGCTCGTAGCAGCCTGGCAAATAACGTCAGGTGTGGATCTGGGTGGAACGCTGATGACCTCAGTCAGCTGCATCGCCATGGCGAGTCTCAGCGCCTGAAATCAGGAATATATATATGTACATAAATATATATATACACACACACACACATATGTGTGTATGTATATATATTGTGCGACTGCAAAGGACCGCAAAACATGCTGTCGCGTTGACGTGCACGCGAAATGTACAGCTCGTAATTTGCGCGAGCGTCAACGTCGAGACGAATGTCTGACATAATTGGATCAATTCGTGTGACGCAGCTTTGGTTCTGAGCCAATTTAATTGGCTCACGCTGTCACACACAGTCCGATATCGTTCTCATGCATATTTCCGCGAAAATTGAAAATATCGCTCAAAGGCACGATTTTCTCGCGCATCGCTCGCTAATGCCTTCCGATCTCGCGCAAAAGGAGATTTCAATTAGTTATTCCATTTAGCTTCCGGCCAATTCATGTTCCGGTCGACGGTGCAGAACAAGTGAACTTATAGGTAAATCTTTATTGTTCCCCCTTCAGAGTTATACAAGCAATTACTGCTACTTTATACATTTTGCTTATGCATTAAAGGTGTGTGTATATACACTTCCTTACATCTAGTGTATATATATTTCCATCTTGTTATGAAAATTTACACGCTACACTTAAGAGGTAATTTTGTGAATTCCCATCCCAAAGACCGTGCCTCTCTACCGATCTTTATTTATTCACGCACAAACCACACGCAACCGTTCCTTAAGTACCTTGACGTGATCTACCGATCTTCGCTTCCGCTCGCGCCTTTTCTTTTACTTCTTTTTCTCGTCATTTACAGTTTATTCTTGCGATTTCCGTTTGTTTTCAGCGAGAATGTGATCTCTTCTTTTTATCCTCTCCCCTTCTCCCGCTTCCTTCCTCTAACTTTCTCTTAACCGCCTCTTTCACCTTTCTCACTTAACACACCCATTATCTCTTGTCAACTTCCTCTTCAGCACCCCAACGATCACATCTCTCTTCCCAAGCGTACTCATAGGATTTTCTTACCGTCAAACTTTGCGAGAACTTCTGTTCTCTCGGACGTTACAACGATGTCGATTTTAAATCTCCCTCTCTCTTTCATTCTGAATATAATTATAACGTTGTAAAATTGTCGACGTTCAATCGAGAATCTCATTATTTTTCGAGGTCAACTAATGACGTACGGAACCCTTTCACAAGTTCTGCGTGAAAATCGCCTTTTCCCCATGAAGCGGCCTCTCCCAATTTCCCCCGAGAATCTCATTAGCAGGTAACGGACGGAGTATGTACAGATGAGAGGTAGAATAATAAACGAAAATTCTATGGAAACGCCGTCACCAGCGCGGACGATCCGGTTAAGTATCTTACCAATTTTCAGTACCAGTATTCTGTTTGCGCCAAAATACACTCGATTATTTATTTATACAAATACGTCGCATCGCGCGCTATTAACGACAACGCGTGTGTTATTCTGTTAGTTAACGATCTCGTGTTTTCCACAGCACCAAAAACATTTCACTGAGAATTATGCGAAAATAAATGACAAAAAAATACACATACAACACATGCAAATTCCACGCTACCTTTCGCCTGTCTCTGCGAGCGGAATACAACACCCAGATTACGTAAGAGGCCATTATAATTGCGGGAATGCACACCTCCGCTACGGGGGATGCACCTCGCAGCAGCAGATGATGCAGTCCGAGCAGTGTGACTGCGAGGGCTGTTCCGCCGGCGACGTATTTCCCGGTGCGATGATGATCTTCCTGAAATATCGCGCGCGCATATTTAGTGAATGTTTTTCAGCGAGAAAGTCATCTATTTCGCACTCTGATATCTCTTATGAATAATTGCAAATTATAAATCATTTGACGCATATCTTGCTTGGTCGAAATGGGAAAAGAACATGAGAGAACGACGTTGCGGAAGTTATGTCTTTCGCCAGCTTCCCGCATTTGATATTTCAGTCGAAAAATTCCGCGAGCACGACGAGAACTCTCTCAACTAGACAAAATGCGCGAAAAGAAGAATTTTTGTTGCCAAATTGCACACACCATGTATTAAAGAAGGAAGGGAGGAAGAGAGAAAGAGAGAGAGAGAAAGCTCTTGATTACCTTATAAGCAGTAAACAATTAATGGCAACTGCTAAGCGGTAAAGTCTGCGCTTCAATTTCAAGCAGATGTGCAAAACAAATGACGCGTCGGCTCTAGACACGTTTAGCCCAGAATTTCATTTATTTTACATCGCCGGTTTTACGTGCGGCATCTGCGAGCGACAAGTGCGTAGGATAATCTAAAACAAGCGAAGCACGAACTAAATTCTGCCGTGTCGAAAGTGACAGATCCATTTCCATTACGATATTTTCTCGATGCGCGCGCTATTTTTCCCTCCCGTTATTTTACACACATTCTCACACGTGTGCGTTCTCCCAAATTTCCTTTTGAAATTCGCATTATTATTATTATAACGTCGAATTGCATAACCGACATGTACGAAAACTTTTTTCTTTGTGATTTAAAGTTTGAGTAAATAATTAGAAGAAACATGTACGTACACAGAATAATACAATCCGCTTTTTACACGCTCTCGTTGGTTATTTCTATAAAATGTTAGTCACGCACATCTGTAACTAATTATACAACGCGATTCATCGCGTTTTACACGAATCTATTCCAGGAATGCAAACACGTTTTCACGTTATTATCATACTTCCGCCGGATATGCCGGATAGATTAACGATACCGTATAGTTTACTTCCAAGACGTGGAGCAGCGTCGAACGCGTATAGGTACTCGTGACTCAAATTACAATGCTTGCCCGAATTCGCAATGTGTTACGCGAAATTCGCAGCGCAGAATATAAGCGCGCGAGAGAAGTTACACATTGTTCTAGTTCATAAATATACCATAACATACATATAATATAGAAATTATCGTAAATTATATATCTACTTTCTTTAGACAACTACCAACCTGTGCAAGCGTATTGACAGTGTCCCTCGACGAAGTCTGAGATCTAAGCGGCATGGCAGTGGCAGTAACATAAAGAGCTCTTTCCGCTGTCAATTAAAATGAATTTCGTTACAAAAACGATTTGTGCATCGCGATTTAATTTAACAACATAATTCAAAAGCATTGATAAAAACCAAATTTTCCGGTCAAAACATTTGTGCAATCTTTTTCACAATAATAAAAAATTTAAAAACTAACTAACCGTGTTTGGACTTTTATTGGCCTGTTTCATTCGTGTATTTCAAAAACAATCCAGTTTATTTGCTCGTAGCATAATTTTTTGTAGCGTTATAAAATGTGTATATGCACGTATGTGTATCGTCTATGATGACAATTTGATTATTTTTTTCTCGCATATACTGCGTAACGTATTTGTTAATTAAATAACATCTAAAATTACATTTGTTTATACACATCTACTGTTAGCGCTGATGTGTTTCGCGTTTCTATCGATATAACGTAAGCAAAATTGCTAAAGATGTTCGGTAAATATACATACATTCGCATAAGTCTATCGGCTATCACTTTTTCAACATAAACGCATATTAAATCATCGACCGCAAATGGCTAATTATTGATTGACGTTGAACAAGACAAAAGTTTCTGAAAAACGATCTCTTTGCTTCGAATTGAAAAGAGTTTAACACGAAGTTTTTTAAGAGTTCTTTTTGACAGGTATATTTTTACATGTTAGAAACAATTATTTTTTCTTTTACAGAAACAATACTGTGAAAATTTTGCTGCAAAATTTAGAATCACATTTAAGTGTTGAACAGTTAAATGCTGTAAACAAATAACATGTATCTATATATGTAATTAAAAACCACTAGAAAAAAAATATTGATAATATTTACAACAATATATTATTGCACACATTTTTAGTATTTTTTTCTTTACATTAAATTTACACCACCACATATTTAATTTAATCGCGTAATGAAAACGCGGGAAAATATCAACAATTTTAAAATAAAAAATCCGTAAAATTCGTACAATTTTATTAATAAAGTGAAATGCGTCAAAGTTTGCGTTTGTCTTTGTGTAAAATAAAAAAGTGAAAATATGTCAACATTTAATTGCGTTAATTTTCTTCATTTATAATGAAGAATATGTTGTTAAAAACAATTGTTAAGCGAAATATCAGTTCTCAACATTTATGCGAGCTAATTGTGTAAGCCGCGAATAACTAGAGAACAGAATTTTATTCCTAGATTTATAAACGCGCGTGTGATAGAAAGAGAACAAAAGCGGCTCTGCTCGCACAATGAGTTTAAAGATGAGATTAATTAAAACAAAAAAGTAGCTACCGAAAAAAATAAGTTTTTCTCTCGCTCGGAAAAATAGATGCTTGTTTAATGATTCTATGAATTTTGTAATTCGTAATTAACCCAAATAAAGCGTTTCTCATGTTTCTACGCGGAACTTTCAAAATGTGGTTTGCACATCGATGAGAAAAAGTTTGCGTCTAAAAGTAGAGCCGGATAATAAAATTTGTTGATTTAATGTGCGCAAATCGGCGAAATTGTCTTTTCACACTTTTTACAAATCTTGTACGAAAATCACGAATATATATATATGTAGGTATAATATACGCGCATAGTCTGTTTCATAGTCTGTTTATCTTTAATATTCGTACAATTAATGCACCACATACATGTTAACGCAAAGATGTTCACTTTCACACACCGACAGCAAAAAATGATCCGTTGCAAGATAATTTGAGCCGATGCGATATCACGGCGATATCTGAAGCTTCCGATCGACTTTGCAGAAACGCGCAGTAATGAGAAGCGCGCGCTCGCTCGGCTCGCTCGCTTTGAGGATAGATTTATGTATCGCCGCCTTTTCAAGAGCAGCCCGCGCATTTACCACCAGCACAATATAAGCCAGGCCACAAGCATCACTGGCATAATAAACAAAAACACGACGAACCAATACGCTCACACGTACACGATCGCAACTATCATCGAAAGACGATGTGTGTGTGTGTGCCGAGCAACGAATTGAAAAGCACGCGGGTTTTGCCAAAATTAGATTATTCTTTTCCTTTTCGGTTGCTTCGCGGAATCTTCTGCTGCTCGTTAAAATAATATACTTTTCTCAACTATCACATTTTTTCTTGTATATCATATTTATGTTGTGTGGAAAGTTGCAATTTTTCTTATCCTTTTCTGTTCTCTTCTTTCTCATTTTCTCATCACGATACCGGTCATTTTAAATTCCAAAAAAAATCAAATCTACGCTCGCGAATATACTCATACACCTGAAGAAGGTGACCATTTAAACTTGTGCACATAGCACAGAATAGAACCGCTGTGGACATAGCGTACCGACATGTCGCTCGTGGACATGACTACGTAGTTCCAATGTGCACCACTCGTGGACATGCGCTAGATTACGGAGCGGAAAAGAGATTACACATTCTCTTATGGACCTGGCCGCTCTCAGGCTTCTCTCTGATCGCAGTCAATTGGTTACTATCCTAGAGTCGCTGGCGTATGGACTAGCTTGAATCGGTTCTTTGAGCCATATATGCACCTATCCTAGAGTCGTTTACTATAGCTGTGTTCGAGAATTGCTGCCAGTGCTAAAATTGTATAATATATATGACGCAAACTATAGATCTTAAGCGCTGGCAGTGAATTTTGAAACACAGACTATGTATGTAACATGAAAGGAGACAATACTTATTACATGGATATTCGTGACTTAGAAAAAAAACCCATTATGCGTAAAATGTTACAATAAATGCTTGCAACATGTAAGATATTTTTCTCAAAAAAGATTCCTCAATATTTAATACCTCAATATTCTTGTAATTTTACTTTAAATTTTAAAACTAAAAAGTCAATTTTTACCAGCTTCAATTAAATTAATTCGGTTGATTAAACTTCAACCGTGACGATTCGTCATTTTAATTTATCGATCAATGCAATCGATTAATCTTGACAAAATAATTTGCTGATAAATTTTATTGAAGATAATAAACTGAACTCTAAAAAACACAGTCATGTTTCGCAAAGTTTGCACGTAAGAGCAAAGAATAAAAATAGTTTGATGATAAAAGCCGAACTTTTTGGAAGATTTTACGCTATACATATGTGGGCATCCTTTAGACATTTTCTATAATTTATAACTTTAATATTGAGTCTTCTATATTTGTATATATAAGTCTTACTATTATTTACGTTGTTTTTATTATATTAACTCATGTTACTTTTATTTTCTATTAAATATTAGCAATGAAATATCAAATTGTGTTAAATAATTAACATTCCAGCATTCCTTATATTTCTATTCTAGGAATATAATTTGTTGCACACATGATACTCGCTCTATATATAAATTTACTTAATATTGACAATACAAGAGTATAAAGGACATTCACATTTATTTGTGTATATATTCTGCTTATATATGTTCACTTCCATATTAATTTTTATATGATATACAAATATATAATAGACAATGGTCCATTTTTCATGGTCCATTTTTATATATTTACAAAAGTTCTAGCCATTTTTTTAATATCTTAGTTTTCGGAAATTCGAGAATTTTGAAGTAGCACATCTTAAAAAAAAAAAAAAAAAAAAACCTTTAAGAAAAGGAACTTGTGTTAATAGCATTGAAAACCTAGTTTAGAAATTTGAGAAACACTTTTATGATTAATTTGCTCAAATTTTCGAAAACTACTACTACTACTTTTGCAAGTTTACGATTAATGACGACAATAGAATATTATATATCGCAATATTTTTAATCATTTTGTAAAGATACAATACAAAAGTTCTCACAATGTAACATCTCAATTTAATATCCAGCATCGAGAGAAATGCACAAAAACTGATGAATATGCAATAAAGAATACTTGCAAAATATTTTTTTTTTTTGACAAAGATAAAACAATATTATAAGATCCAATCATCTCTTATTACCAATAAGACTAATGTAAAAGTATAAAAAAAGAGAAGAGAAAGAAAAAAGTATATGTGTACATTAAAGCCTACAAAAAGTAGGAGTTTAGAGAGGTAATCGATTTATTCAAAACTTCGATTTTGAATGAGGAAATCGGTCTTTATTTCCAAAAATATGTTGCCCACTTCTGGACCGTCGAAAACTTCCTGCAAATACAAATAAAAGAAAACTGTGAGAACTTTTCCGGTGTGATAAATCGTGAGATTTATTCCCAACTGTTAGAATTTGAGAACTTCACTCGTACATGGTTTGTCTAAAAAGATGTTTTTCTTGTATAAAATTGAAGACAATTTGATAAAACAAAAGCCAGAGACTGCAATAACAAAACCATGTTCTTTTAAAAGGTCAAACACTTTATTTAATATGAATAAGAGATGCGAATGTCTGGGATTTTTAGGATATATACAAAAATTCATATCGTCTAAGTTTGAATATATATATATATCTCTCTTTCTCCTTCGACAACGCTTGTGATTAAAGTATCCCTTCCAATATCCGACTAACCCTCTGCCTAAACAAACGAGTTGTAATCGCGGTGATAAAAGCATTAAACATGGGCTACAGTAAATGACAGATTTCATCATCCAGTTAGAAATATCTTGAGAAACAGTGGGTAGAACGAGAAGTTTTAAAAGAAAAGATGTCAAAATTTCTAGAGCGGTCAAAGTTGCGACAAAATAAAGATATCGACGCATTCTGGAGAATGTAAAATTTCCGGTCATTTGCGATAACAGGGATAAAATATAATCAAACTGCGCCGAGCTGCGCTTTTCGCACTTTAGTTCTATTTGCTATTCTCAAGAGTGACTTCTTTTGTCGTAGTAATATATATATATATATATATATATCACTATATTATATATTGTTAAAAATTAAAAATCTTGATAGCAATCAATCTAGTATATATATGTATATATGTATATGTATATATGTGTGTATATATAATACCAATATAATTGTTTAGTTTTATACTAATATTTAATAGCGGTAACGATAAGAATAATAGTACTTAGCAGCAGCAGCAGCAGCAATATTGGTAGCGACAACAGTAGTAGTATAATTAGACTAATAATAATAATAGTCGTACTACAAAATCCTGTAGCGCAACAGATAAACTATTTCCGTAATCTACTATTATAAGTCGAAATGAATATGAAAAACGTTGGAATATTTTGGTTTAGATCGCGTTTACATAAAGCGAATATTGTTCACCAACCCACTCAATATATGTACTCACACACCATAAGAGATCGACCAGTTGAGAGCTTCTTTCACTTACTTTTTATTATTTTGTTTAGTATAATGTTTTATAGCCAATAGTCGGATTTAAATCAAATCGGCGACATTCATTGGCATCTCATCAATATGTGTATTGTAGAACTGTTCAATATCTTTTAAAGTTCTTTTGTCCTCTTCAGTTACAAAATTAATGGCCACACCTTTGCGACCAAATCGACCACCACGTCCAATTCTGTAATATGAAATAAAAAATTTAAAATATTTACAATTATTTAAAAGAAAGAAAAAAGAAAACAGTGTGTTTGTGCTCAAAAGTAAATTGTAAATTATGTCTAATTTAATAATATAAATTATTACTTCCACACAAAGTTTAATTAAAATCTAAATATACATAATAGCGTCCATTGAATAATACCTGTGAATGTAATTTTCTCGGTTTGAAGGTAAATCATAATTAATTACGAGAGAAACTTGTTGCACATCAATACCACGCGCCAAAAGATCAGTAGTAATTAAAACTCGCGACGATCCAGTTCGGAACTGTCTCATAATAAGATCACGTTCTTTTTGTTCCATATCTCCATGCATAGCCGAAACAGTAAAGTCACGTTTATGCATACTTTCTGTTAACCAGTCGACTTTACGCCGCGTGTTGCAGAAAATTACGGCTTGCGTAATGCTCAGTGTGTCGTACAAGTCGCAGAGGGTTTCCAGCTTCCAATCCTCGCGTTCAACATAAACAAAAAATTGCTTAATACCCTCTAACGTGAGTTCTTCTTTTTTAACCAAAATACGAATAGGATTTCGCATAAAACACTTTGACACATCTAAAACGTCAGATGGCATTGTCGCAGACAATAATATAACCTGTAAGGAATAAATACACAAATGCATTGAAACAAGCACAAAATCTGGTTAGAAATTATATAAATGATGTAAATGTGATAATTGATATTATATGGTAATGGGAAAAAAAATAAATTTTATATGTATTTGCCTTTACTTAAATATTATATAAATGACTATTATGTATGTGCACAGTATAATGGCATCATGCTGTAACATTGTAAATTGTTGCTATTTTAAAACAAACATATTTAATGATTACAGTAGTTTCCCGTTAAAAAGAAATGTAAAAAGAACCCAGTAAGAAGAACATCTTTATTTTAACTACAGCAAGAAAAAAGTCATTGATAAAATCATATTTACGATCCCTTTATTTGAACGATCGCGAGATCGCTCTGTCACGCTCCTATCTCTTACTCTTTCATTCTTTTAGTCAGTTCTTTACTTTCTCCAGTGGCTAAAATAATTTATGACTTTACCCACGCAGAAAAAACTATTTATTTCTTATTGTCAATTCAGTGTCTCCTAAAACTAAAATTTTCTGTTTAACAGGGCATTACTGTAATTAATTACAAAACAATTATTATTAGAAGTGCTATGAGACACAATAACTGTTTTTGCATTTAGACCACTATATTACTTTTAGATGAAAAGTAACACATTTGATGATAAATAGCACATCTCAAGCCTAGAATATACAAATTTTTCAGAAAACGACGCTATTATACGACGCACCTGTATTTTATAATATATTTGTTAACTTGATTATCATCTTGTATGATTTGTGGACTTGTCCAAAAAAGACATTTTCTAACAATTAAAATAAAATTATCTATTAGATGGCAAAACATATTCAGAAATCTACAACGCTGAAACAAAAATTGTATATTACATACCTGTACTTCATTGGGTAATAATTTGAAAACATCATGTATCTGATCCTTAAAGCCTCTTGAAAGCATTTCGTCGGCTTCGTCTAACACGAACAGTTTAATGCTACTGGCTCGAAGAGCTCGTCGACTTATCATATCATAAACTCTTCCAGGAGTACCGACAACCACGTGAACTCCCTGATCCAGTTTTCGCATATCTTCACGTACATTGGTGCCACCGATGCATGCATGACATTCCGCATGCATAAAATCCCCTAAAGCGATAACAACTTTTTGGATCTAAACAGAGATAAAAACATTTACATTAGAATTCAATATTTTCTTGATATGAACTTGATATAAACTCTTTTTTTAATAATACAGTCTCATAGACTTACTTGTTGGGCTAATTCTCGGGTTGGTGCAAGAATCAAGGCCTGGCACTCTTTAATACTAGTGTCGATTTGTTGAAGAATTGATATTGAAAATGTTGCAGTTTTTCCAGTGCCTGTGATCATTAAGAATAATATTAAGTATAACCTAACATAGTACTTTTACATTGTTAATTAAGAAGGTATATTAAAACTTCTTACCTGATTGCGCCTGAGCAATTACATCAAGCCCCCTTATGCAAGGTAGGATGGCACGCTGTTGAATTGCAGATGGTTTTTCAAAACCGTAAGCATAAATTCCACGTAAAAGTTCCTCTTTCAGATTCATTTCGTCGAAGTTTTCAACAACCTATTTAAATTAGTACATTATACTGATAATTATCTCATAAAATGTTATCATTAAAAGTTTGTTATAAATTAACAATTACTAGATACATTATAAAAATTATCTTTTATAAATTATTAATCATTGAAAAGCTTTTCATGAACAAAATCGTACTTAATTTATTTATTAATACTTTTCAATCTTAAATTAAACAAAAATATGCATTACAAAGACAATTGATCAAGAAACATCTTGTAACATAAATATACACAGGAATGATTACATAACAAATAATCCTTTAAAATAAATAATTGTTATAAGTATACATCTGTTTTCAGATTTATTTTATTTTGTCTGTATATATGCAGATGCAATTTTAAATAGGGAGGTATAAAAATTCTTTGATCATTATTTCCCACACACACATATAAGAAGAACATAAATAACAGAATTTTATTGCGTACATTTGCTCTAAATTTAACATGAAATAGCTAGTTTACTCACGACATCCCAATTGGATTCAATGATGCCATCCGGATCCATTCCGGGTGGTCCATCATAAGTCGGCTGCTCACTTTCACTTGGACCATTTTTGGAATCTCCTGGCCACTGGTCATCGTTTCTAAAACGCATATACACAATATGAATAGTCCTATATCTATATATGTATAATTATTAGTATCCAATAATACATTATAATAAACCATAAGTCAAACAAAACCAAAAAGTTGCACATATATGTACATATATCTCACATACAATATAGCTATAAGATATTTAATATATATTTAGAAAATAGTGAGCATATTTTACTAAAATATTATTTTTAATATAAATATATGTAAAGAAAAAACCAATGAAAAAAGAACTTTCTTTTACACAAATCCTTTTTATTCTCACATTGAAAATATTTATTACTGGTTTTTATCTTCACAAGAACAATGATATATAAATCGGAGAAGACAATTCATTAAGTATCTATTTTAGAGAGAAAGCAAAGATGTCGTAAAACTATGCGTAAACGTGTACAAACTTTGCGGAGCAATGCAAAACTGATAATATCGGTCATGCCGTTCAAGTGATGACAAATCACTTTAAAACCACGTGACCTTGAAAGCAGACCGTTTAAATCGATCTTTGCGAGACATGCATCCCGATTTAACGATCGGCTATTAATTCTCAGGTCATCTGCGAGCATCGTACGACTACCGATTCGGTCTGGGATCGAGCGTGCGATCGAACTTGCGGCGTAACCGTGCGAGAATTGCGAGCCCAAAAACTGTATCGCCGTGCGTCGAGCGCTTTGACAGTGTGTGACTCACGCAAAAGCGTGGCCGAGGACACGAGACGTGTTGCAAGAGCTCAAAAAGCGACACGTGCAAGCGCCTCGGAGTCGCGGGTCACGGCGATTTTTGATTTCTCGGCAAGAAAACCGCGCGAAAAACCATTATTTTATTACGTAATTTCCATAGGCCGAGGATCGGGAAAACGTGCTTGTCTGTCGTGTGGCACACACGGGTGGAAGCTAGTTCGTCACCCACGCTAACGGACACCGAAACCCTCGGCATCGTTTACCGTGCACGCCCGCTTCGATCTGTTCGCGCGATTTTCACCGGCGAATCGCAACGGGGAGGTTAAGCGAGAAAATACGAAGAGATTGCCGCGTATCGCCGTTAATTTTGCCAGGACAATGTGACAAAAACGAATGCACGCCATGTTGTCAGTCCCCGTACACCCGTACGTTCAGTCGATTGCGGCACACCGTTTCTCGAAAATGCGATCCTAACCGCGCGAACACCCGAATCGTGCATCGCGCGGGATCCGCGATGACAACGGCGTCGCGAGAATTCGAAAACGCGCTGAAATGCAAACGCGAATCACCGTTAGTTGAGAAAAATCGCTTAACTTACCTCCGTTCGGTTGTATGCGACATGTTCAACACGCTGATTCCAGCGAAAAGAAAGAGTATATGGTCGTGTGGCGTCACGATAGTATATGTGGGATTGCCGATCTGTGGCGCTGCAAGCGGCACCGGAACTTGAATAATCTCTGTAAAACGTGTGCACGCGCGATATCGTATCGAAGTCAGCGCGACACGACCAAATACGACCGATTACCCTTTACCTGCGGTCGTGAGATTAAATGAGAATTTTTTCTGAGTAAAATTATTTTTTAATGATTAAGAATTTTTATTCTAAACGCCACTTGGCGTTACTGCGCATGACGGAAATGACGCATTACCCATAGTGCTTTGTAGCAGTGTAGTGGGGTTCATCGCGGTAAATACAAAAGACATAATTTTGGCACTCTGTGCTTCTTTTGTATAAATTTTATACTTATATTACTTTCTATAATTTTTATTTATTTATATTTTATTATATAGATCTAATTACATGTCGAGATAAACTTATATCTTTACGTAACAAATAAGCAATAATGTTTTCTTTGGACAATATCTTCTTTTCAATGTTTTATAGTATTTTCTTTCTTATAAAATGGATTTTCTTACAAAATTACGAGTATTTGTTTAAAACACTACTAAATTTCAATTACAATTACACACATTTGATTATTCAAACATTTATTTTATTGTTTTATAAAGGTAATACATAATAAAGATTACAATAATACATAATAAAGTTAACAAGATAATAAAGAACAATTACTTTGGTACTTTATTGTTTATGTATATGTAATCCATATATATCTATGCATTTAATAGAAAAGAAGATGCGGCAGGAATACATTTGATGTTTTATGACAAAAAGTTCTTAAAAGTCACAATATTAAGCGTAAATATCCTATCAGTCTTTTAATTTTCAACATTGATTTTCTCAAGATCTAAAATCTCGCATAAAAAATTGTATTCTACATTTTCCACTTATTTCTTTTCACAATGAATCATCACTTTTGCTGTTGTACCAGCTGTCCTGCCGCACCGCATATATTTTGTAGTAGTCTTAAGTAAAAATATATCACGTTGACCAAAAAGTTTTTCACTTATTTAGTAGTTTTTTAATTTTTTTCACTTTTTATAGTTTTACAGTCTACTACAAAAGCATTACGTGATCACGTCTAACGTCACGTAAAAACGAATCAAATTCAAAATAAAGCCTTTTAATCTTCTTAAAAGTAATAGCGAAAACTAGAACAGAATTTCAATCCAAAAAATAAAAGAGAAATTAAATTGAACAGTTTTAATTTCTCTTGTTTAAAAAAACTGAAATTTGTGGCCAACTTAACCGTTACAAGCGGGACGGCTTTTAGTTTTTGAACTACAACTTTTTCATATGCAGAGTAGTGTGATGAAAAAAACATGATATCCCCGTTATGTTTTTTACATAGTTGCTGCGACCCGATCTGTAATGGTTAATCATTCTCATCATTTTATAACTTATAAAATGTTTTCACACTGTTCTGAGTATATACAATTTAATCTCTAATAATTATCTCTAATTTGTACTTATAAGTTTTATATAATACATCCTTATATCTATAGAGAATATCCAAGTAAGTATTACCAAGTTAAACTTATTTATATAGAAGCACAACCAAGAATTATCAATAATATTGCAATTGGAAAAATCATGTATACAGCCATTCGTGGCTTACAGACAGAAATTAACATGCTAATATCATCGGTTTCGTCATTCTCTATGCCGTCTTTGGTCGGTATTTCAACGATCACTCTGTCTCCTGACAGAGGACTCAAAAAGAACGAGCATTCAGTTTGATTAATGCATGACTTAGTTACATTCTCATATTGGAAAGTTGGTTTATATATATCAAAAATCGCATACATGTCATTGGACACAATATCATTATCACTATAAAAAATGTAATAGTAGTAACCGTCTTCTTCCACGTTGTGATTCGCTTGCGTATGTCGACCGCTGAGCAAATAATAAATATTAGTACACAGATCAGAAGGTTCAAATTCATAAGCTAACAATATCGCTCCGTTGTAACAATTGAGCAAGCCGGTTTCAAAACTGGAAATGGACGATACTTCATTAGAATAAGAACTAAAATTTTTGTCAGCATTTCCACCGTGTCTGATGCCTTGATCCAACAGAGAAGGCGGTTTAATGAGTTCTCGACTTCTTTTGAATCTTTTTGCGTATATCTTGTTTGTTTGTATATCTTCTTGTTGTTCAAACACATTTTTCTCAGCAAATATATGTGAATCTAATTTTTGTTTCAATTCTTGTACATGCATTTTTTTTTCATATTCCTGAAAATGTTTTTTCCCTTGTTTTCTTCTCTCATCTTTATTTTTCTTCATCTTACGAGATCCAGTGTGTCTCAACTTTCTAGTGTTATTCGCGTTTTTCTGCGAATTACTTACACGATTATGAATATACGAGGCAGCGGTATGATATAAGTCTTCTAACTTTCTTTCGTAACTTGTTGCAGTGTGTACTTGGTTGTTGTTATCATTAGTAATATTATTATTGTTATTATCATTTATATTAACACGATCATCAAATATTTTTCCCACTGAACTTTTAGAGCTTATATTTACGGATAGTTCATGTGTGTTATTATTAATATTATATACGTTAAAAGACTCGGTTACTGTAAATTCTTTAGAATCGATTTCTTGTGCATTTGATTCATATATTTTAACCTGTTTGTTTGCACCTGGTAAAAAGATATCGTCTTGCAATGGATCCTTGTTAAAATTGTGTTCCAACAGACCACAAGTGCGTAAATTTCTTTCCCCTTTTACTACTAATATTGAAGCTCCTTCAAATCTAAAAACGTGAGCATTTATATATACATATAATACGTGTACATAAACAAAATATATTTTTTAATGTTTTTTGAAGTAATTTAATTGTATAATTTATATTTTATGTAGTTTTTACCTTGAACACACAGTTAATGATACAGATGCACCTTTCAGTAAATAAAATCCCCAATATTCTAACGTATCATCGGGTAGATTCATGCTTTTTTTGAGCCTTATATGCTTTCGTTTTGATGTTATTTCTGGTCGATGAGCCATTTGAAAAGCATTGAAAGTGCTATTCATTCGTAAAGTATGTTCCTATAAAAACAGTTGTATAACTGTATATCAATGATATAAACATTTTATAACGCATAATTTATATCAACAATTATATATATGTGACATCAATTCATATTTTTTATATATTCAAAATTATTTGAAAAGTAATGATAATAATACTAATAAATAAAACTATATTTAAAGTGATTTACATTGAATTACATAAATATTGTTTACTATGTATTATACGTGTAAAAACATTTTGGTAATAAATAATAATACTATTCCATATTAGAAATAATAAGACATGTGTGTGCAATCACAGAAATAATAAAAAATGTTAAGTGTTAAATCTTACTGAACAAAATATTGTCGAAATCCCATCGTTGATTTCCATGATATCAGATTCTGTTACAGCATATGCTAGATCTTTATAGACTATATGCCGTAGATATAAAGGAATAAATATAAGCATAGATGGAAGAACAGTTATCATCGTGCAGAAAAATAACAATTTTCTGATACCATGCATTTTTGCTATGCCTACTAATAGTAAATAAAAAAAATTGATAATATTAGTACTTATGTTAGTTAAAATATAATGAATAAGAGAAAAGTTAGTTAAAATATAATTAATAAGCAGAGTAAGCACAATATTTAAGCACATTACAAAGTAATCATCATATATAACTAGAAGCTTTCTATACTACATGTACACATATAAACAACATTGTATGTTTAAAAATATAAAATATTTTTTACTCTGTTTAATCTTTTTTTTATCATTTACTAATAGCAATAAGCTATTTTCTCTCTGAGAAGATAAATAAAGAATGAGAGAAAGAAAAAGAAGACAATTTTTTGAAAATATACACTTAAGAGTTGAAATTTAGAAAAGCAGTTAAATAGAACCTATAATTATATGTGTATAAAAACACGTGATGCAAAAATATTAACATATTAAGCAAAAAATATAATTTAGTTTTAAAAAAGTATACATATAATCAATATAAAAATTACCTTTTCACACGTTTTAATTTATAGGTTATCTTGTTTAATTTATTTAAAAAAAAAGAAACATTGGAATTACAGTATTATCTTGTTTTATAAAGCAAAAATGGTTATAAAATCCTCTTATCTGCCACATATATCTTCACCAATACTAAACACCACTATTGTTATACACTTCTACGTTCTATGCTACAGCTAATATTTCTGGTTATGGCGTAAAAAGATCTATTCTTATTTCATACTTGTAGTCAAATCAATAACAGTCGTTGGTCAACTTGATGTTTCGACATTAAATAAAACTCTTGTTTACTGTTGATTTTTATATTTTAATATACTCTGTTCAACGAGAGAATATCATCGGTCTGCGCATAGCTACGCAGACGCAAGTTGCATATCTCACGGAATTAACCAATTACATTGATCCAATTAGCCAATCGATCAATGTGATTAGTCAATTCCACGAGGTCTAAACACGTGCGTTTGCGTCTTATGTAGATAGGCCTTAATATGCGCTCCCAGAGTCGATTTTGCATCATTATCGATTAAATTAAGAGATCGATCGATCAATTGAAAAACTTTGTTCTTTCTGGACTACAGAGAAGTACAGTTTTTGGCTCTTGAATCAAAAATGCTATATTGAATTTGCAATATGACGTGATGCCTCAGCTCGAAACGACTTTTTTTTCTATGAATACAAAATCCAGAATCTATTTTGTAACTACAACAGACATAATGTCGCTATCGTTTACAGATAGCGACATTAGATCTGTTCAGTTTTATAATCTGAGATGCGATGTACAGACAACGCGACTTTTCAAACAACAATAAAAATTATAGTTTTAAAGTCAAATTATTAAAATATGTTCAAAAGACGGAGATTGTGCAATTGACAAGTAATTGCTGTTATAAACATAGTTCTTTTTATTTAATACTTTACATTGCTTTCGTTTCTCAAGAATCACGCATCACAGAACCAACCTTTGTACCATGTAGATAAAATGGAGACGATACAAAGTTAATTTTATAAACGCAAGATTTGTATTTTCATGTTTTGTTCGGTGTTTTTATAAATGTTGCACAAGATGGAAAACACATATAACAATAACCGATTAAAACAGTCGAAAGTTCGCACGATAATGCCTCACGCCAAGTTCACGCGTGTCTATTATTTACAGAAGAGAGTTATTTTATATTATAACATTGTACAAATAAATATTTACCGATTATTAGTAACTTGAAGAACACACGATTGCGAAAGCTAAGTAATAGTAGTAATATTATCTTATGCACAACTATCAGAATTATGTAATTTCACACTATATGTATATAGTGTAAAAAATATATTGTGTATGTATGTACGTATATGTATATATACATTTATATATATATATATATATATATATATATATATATGCGTGTACGTACATATAGGCATACATATATTAGAGCTCAGAGACAATAGATTCGAACGAAATACAAATTACTCACAGTTCGAAGCAGAAACACGAACAACTAGCTTGAACAGTTCGAAATAGGTCAAGAGAAAGAAACAAATAAATTTCTTTATCGTCTACTTTTATACATATATATATACATATATATATATATGTATATATAATTCGTCAAACAGATTCGAACTCTCCAAACAATTGAACTTCTGAGCAATTCTTAATTAATTAAATTCGAACGTTTCTAAAATTTCCGAGCGCTAATATACATATAGAAGCACATAAGTTATATTTACTTATAAAAGATATCGTACATTTGTGAGTGTACGTTGTGTCTGTCTGTGTGTGCATAGTTTGCATGTACATACAAACGTGTGTACAATTTACACAAAAAATATTGAAAATTAAAAAATTTGCTAGTTTATTAACTGCTAAATCATAAAAAACCGTGTATCACGCACATATACAAACTTTTCTATTTTACAATCATACAATTACAAACATCTCCCATACGTTATCTAAATATATCTCACAATAGTCCGAGATTGCAGAGAAATAGCGCACAGAGCTCGCACAATAAATAACAATTGTCACCATTTTATAAATTACATAGTTAATCGTCATCAGTACTCTTTTGATACACTGCGCCGAACTTGCTCATGTACTTACGTACAAAGTCTTTCGCTTTATGTTTAACATTCTCATTACACTGCAACTCGTCCACACTTTTACAGTGCTTTAATTCTTTTGCTAGTACAAAGTGTGTTAACTGTAACAGACATTACAATCGTTGAAGAACGTTGTCACAAGACATTAGGATAAATTTATTAGACGCAACGTACCTTTCTAGCTAGATGCTTAAAATCTTCAGTATTGGTTATTCTGCCTTGCTTGCAATCAGTTTTTCTATACGGATTCAAGAAGTGAACCATTACATTCGCCATGTTTGTTCTAAATGCATCTTTAATCTTTCGTTCAGATGTAGGAGACATTTCGCCTGATATTGGTATCGATTGTTTGCTCAGTCCATGTCGGGAATGAGTCTTCACCTTTATGCTCCGTCTGTGTTTTCTCAGTTGGTCTTTCAGTTTTGCTCTTTCTTTCTGTCGTCGTAGTTTCTCTTTTATTTCTTTATAAACTTTAGAATCAATACGGTCCTCTTCTCTACGTGGCTGTAAAATAATATATATACATATATATATATATATTAATTGATTGGAAAAATATAAGAGCTAGAAATATAAAATCCGCACGTCTTAAAATTGAGAAATTTTATATGATGGAAAACTTAATACATTTTTTACGGACTACTGCAATTTTTCTCATTTTAAATTTATTATTTGCTAAAGAAAATAATACTCACACTAATAATTCTTTCTTGGACCAATCCATCTCTTCTTTTTTTAGACTCAGGAAATGGTAACGAACTTCCGGTCAAATTAAGATTACCTACTTTTTTAGTTATATTTGGTTTAGATGCACTCACAATATTTTCTGATAAAACGTTACTCATTTCCATATCATCATTCTTTTGATCCTCGTTATGATCATCATCAATATCTTCGTCTTCTTCGTTTGACGAACTAGATTCTTCGCTAGATTCCGAAGTAGATGACGAGTCCGGCTGTACTCCGATATGATCGGGTGGTGGAGGTAACCATTGTGATATTCTTTCTTTTACATGATAATAGTACGTTCTACCTCTGCTGTCTACTGCACTTTTCCATTTTGGTGGTAGATCTATTGGTGGAATTTCAGGTTGCGGTCGACTCGTAACATTTTCCACGGGTGTAATGTTGGAAAACTGTTGATCTGCAAATGTTTTTGTGCAATAATGCAAAATTTATGTAGAAAAAGTAAAAATTTGAACTATATAATAAACAAATATACAAATATATATATATATATATGAGATACTTCTATATATAAAAAAAATACTAAACTATTTGAAAGAGATAGTTGTCCTTCGGGATATGTTTGTGGATGTGAAATCAAAGAGTAAGATGTTTGGTTGAATCCAGGCGCTTGACTTAAGGAATATGCTACAGGTGGCACGCCAGAAGGTGGAATTCCAGATGACATGTCAGGTGTTGACGGTAATACGTGAGGACTTTGGCCTATTATACCGGCAGATTGAGGACCTTCTACGTATACAGAAGTGCACTGTTGCGCTACGTCTCCTCCATCTACAAAAAAACAATATTATATATTTTTCTGAAGAAAATATATATTATACATACGTATATATTATACGTATATATATAGTATACATACGTATTTTATATTGTATAAATTTAAATAAAATATACATAATATACTAACAAAATAAATTTTTTTTTGTTATAAATAATTTATGTATATTTAAATAACCTTGAGAGGAATAATGTTGCCATTGACCTAATGTCGGATTATAAAACACAGGATAACCAGTTTGTGGATCAACCATGGCAGTGGTATGAGGATCTATACCCAATGCTAAGCATCTATTCTCATGCTCTTGCCACAATTCTTGTTGTTGACGACGTTGTCTCTCCTCTTCTTCTTTCGCAACTTTCAATGCGAATAATTGCCTACGCTCATACTTTGTCATACGTGGTATAGGAACTAGGCTACTCCGTTCTTCTACTCTTTTATCTTTTGTTCTGCCATATTCTGTTTCTGGCGATTCTCGACCACGACGTCTGTCACTACGTTTCTCTATTTCATTCCGATTGTATCTATCAGATCTATGTCTGGGAATTCATAAAATTAGTTAATAAATTACATATAGAACATTTATCTGTTTATCTGTTGCATGGATTGTTGAATATTGTAAAGAATTTATTATTATTATATAAGAATTATATACCTATCGTACGATGTGGCTCTCTTCTCTTCTTTTTCGAGTTCTTCTCTATATCCCCGATCTGCGACAAAAATGAAAAATTAATTGTTAATTAGGAATTCAATTTTCTTAAGTATTATGAATATGTCACGGAAAATAACCTGCTTCTCGTTCGTGCTCCTTCATTTGCTCAATCCTTTCTTTTTTTGGTATTCTGAAAACTTCTTTTAAATTCGACCATTCAGCCAGAAGGCTAGAAGCTAAATCAGGAATGACATTCTGCTCTATAGTTTCTAATTTAGCTTCATTAATCGGCAAACAACTTTCGGCATTGTTATTATGCTTATCTGGAATGTCATTCAGACGTTCATCAGGGCTTCTTTTCTCGTTGCTATCAGAGGTACTGTTTGAGTCTTCACAAATCGTTTTCGATTTAACCTGATCGTCTTCTGGAGAATCGCCATTTGGAGAAAGATACAATCTTTTCGACCATCTTTCAACTACCTCATATATTTTGCTATCTTTTAACATTGTCTTATTCGGTATTGGCAGTGTATTGAGAGTCTTTAGAACTTCCAAACGGAAATGTTGAGCCTCTTCTGATTCGTTTGTAGAAATATCCATCACATAACTCCAAATCAAACGTAAACCGTGATAGTCCAAGAACAATCTTCGACAAGGTTGTTCACCATCTTGTATAAGACGTAACAAGCGCGTTCTGTGTTCTAACTCTCTGCTACGAACCATTAATCTGCTCAACGTTAGCGTATGTGCACGGTTTTTAAAACCGCCCAAACATAATTTGTCTATTTCTTCTTCCAACTACGAATAAAAAATAAAGATTACATTTACATTATTAAAAATACAAGGACTTATTTTTGCATTAATCATGTCATTTGTAATATCATTTAATTGTAGAAATATACTTACATCCTCATCTTCCATATAATCGGCAGGTTTCTTTTCCTCCTTTTTCTTCTTCGTATCTTTTTCACGTTTTTCTTTCTTTTCAATCTTTTCCTTTTCTTCTTCAGGTGTTTCACCTATCCAACCTCGGCAGTTTGGCGCCTCACAATAACATTTTTGAGCTTCTTTGCTAATATTTTATTGAACACATACATAAATAGCATAATAAAGATTTATATTTGCATATATATAATCTATGTAAATAGTTAAACAATAACTATTTTCTATTTTGTTTTACTAAGAATAATATGTCATTAAGAAAAACATACCCATAACGTTGAAAATGATAATCAAATGTGATTTCTTCACCCGCAGCTATCAATTTTGTATTAAAAAAGCCTATTCGTAATTCTCCATTTACTGTCCACTAAAAACCATTTGTTCAATCAATAAAACATACGCATTTTAATATCAAGAAATTATTTTTGTCTTGTTGCATAAAATCTAAACTTACTTTTTGTGTTTCCGCGTTTGGATCACAACTATGATTGATAAATCGGGATATATTTCCTTTCATGGTAGCATCTATAATCTGATCTGATTTCAATGCCATAAAATAGTAATGTTTATTTTTGTCTTTGGAATATTCTTTCGCCCGGCGTTTAAAATCTTTTGGATCTACCACCTCACCCACATATTCCATTATAAACTCACCCCTAAAAAACCAATATAAAAATATAAGTTTTTTTACATTTTATATATGTGAGTATATATTTCTTTTCATTTAATATTCAAAAATCTTTTTATTTATTTATTCATTTATTTACTTGAAATATATAAAATAATAAAAGTTTACTTACGCCATTATATCGACAACAGCGCGCAATCCAAAACCTTTTTTTTCTGTTCGAAACACTTCACATTTGGCATATTCACAATTTTGAAATCTTTTATTTGTACATCTGTCACCTACTACACATCTAGGTCCACTGTAATAAACAAAAACCATTATTACTATTTTCATTAAATAATTAGTTTCATTTTGCTATTTCTATTTCAACAGTATATAAGTATAAATGATAAAAAGTAAAATGGCTAGTGTAAATGAATGCTTACCATTCTATCATGAGAAGTCTATTAAGACAGTCTTCTCCACAACCATGTTCACCTCTCTCAATGTCTTCTTCAGTTAGAAAACAATCACATACCATTCTTTTAGTTTCTTTATTTGTATACCTATAGTAACCAAAATATGAATATCTTGTATATACGCATATTTAGCAACTTTAAAAAATATAATATTTACTTGAATGAAAACCTTGTTTTAATTTTTTCTATTAATGTTCTTCATATTAACAATTATAATCTCTGATTAGTAATTATATTTAATTGTCGCGATTTTCTATTTACCTCTCAGTAAGATACAAGTTTTCACGCAGATGTTCAAATTGACTCAGTCTTTCCTCCATTTCCCTATTTTCTGCTTCAAGAAGCATTGGCAAAGGAATCTTCGCACCTATAGTTTTCGGAATTTCTATTAATGAACAGTTATTAGACGTCATTGATGCATCTTTATCTTGTTCTGTTTCCGATTTTATATTCGTATTATTATCTTTTGATTCCAATGATGTAGATTCTCCTGTGATTATTGATGCACAATTTTCTAATTCAGATGACGCTATAGATGTCATAGGAGCAATGACAGAAACAAATCCCGCACTTGATCCACCCATTTCAAGCTCACTTGATCTTCGCCATCGAGATTTTACTTTAACTGGCTTTGAAGAATCAGAATCATATCCTGTAGTATTATAACTAGCACTTAAAGGAGCCAAAGTATCAAATGACGTTGATATTTTGACAGAGCTAGTTTCCTTATCGCATTGAATCTCAGAATTCATCTTTATTTCCTGTGTAGCTGAAGGATTTACATTATTTATTACTTTCTCCTTTTCTTGCTGAGGAGTGGTTTTCAAATTGTCATTAAGTTTCGTAACCAAGCCACGTCCACGAGATCTGAAAAAAATTTGTTCTTTGACATTTAATTCTTTAGCTAAATTTAGAAAAATTAACTCAAGCGCCAATTCGAGCTGTTTTTCCACTTTAATGATCCAATTTATCTCAAAATTTTGTACATTTTTTTTTAATTTAAAAAAAAAGTAAAACAACTTGAGATAAATTAAAGCATAGATATTTCGGAAATTTTGCTAAGTCATGATTTATTTTTTTTTTTTTT